TCTAGAATTAGCTATATTATTGAGGATATTCACGAAACTGTCACGTTTATCAATCAAAATGAAGGGAGACTTAATTTGTTTTCTGAGATTGTGCAACAGTTGCAATTGCCACATAGAAAACTTATTCTTGAATGCAAGACAAGATGAAATTCAACATATCAGATGTTGTCGGCTGCAATCAAATTTAAAGAGGTGTTTCCAATGTACAAAGAAAGAGAGCCACACTATCTTTGTTGTCCCATCAATGATGATTGGTTGAAGATGGAAAATGTATGTGAAATCTTAGAAGTTTTTGACTCTGCGACTAATATCATCTTTGGGAGTGAATATCCGACTTCAAACTTATTTCTTAATGAAATTTTTAGAGTGAAAGTTTTGTTGGATAAGAAGTTTGAAGATTCTAACGAAGATGAGTTTGTTCATGACATGGTTAAGTGCATGAAACTAAAATTTGATAAATATTGGGGAGATTGCAACTTAATGATGTCTATTGGTGCTATTTTAGATCCTAGGTGCAAAATGAGGGTTATTGAGTTTTGCTTTCCTAAGATGTATCTTGAAAATGAAGCTTGTAAAAATATAGACAAAGTGAAAAAAGCTTTATATGAATTGTATAAAGAATATGCAGATGAGTATTACTCTAGTAGTGGTGAAGGAAATGGCGAAAGTGTTGGTTTAAGAGGAAACAATGTGACTATTCAAGTTTCATCTTCTCGTTGGTATGAGTTCGCTCAATTTGTAAGAACAGTTGAAAGTATACAACCACAAAAATCCGATTTAGATAATTATCTTGAAGAGAGTTGTTACATTTGTGAAGAGGATCCAATACCATTTGATGTTTTACAATGGTGGCGGTCAAATTCGTTAAAGTATCGTATATTGTCACGCGTGGCTTGAGATATACTTGCAATTCCTATCACCACTGTTGCATTGGAAGCTACTTTTAGTGCGGGTAGTAGAGTTATTGACACATATAGAGCATCCTTGGCTACTGAAATGGTAGAAGTCTTACTTTATGGTGGAGATTGGTGTCGAAGCCTCTATGGTTTGAAAATAAAGAAAAATGCATGATTATTTGTTTTTCATCACCTTTAACATGTTTTTATAATTTCAATTATATTTATTATTCTTGTGTTTATACATTTCAGAAAGAGAAGCAATAAATGGAGATCAATCTTCCCATTCCATGATAAGTAAGTTTATTTAAAATGTTGAAAACATAATTTTTTTTGCTATTTTTATTTTTTTTTCTTTTTTTGTAGTTTTTTTTTCCTGCTTTTATGGTTTTTGGTAGTTTTTTATTGTTTCTTTTGCAGTTTTTTTTTGTTTTTACTGATTTTTCTGCTGTTTTTAGGTTAAATAGCTGTTAAATAATTGTTGTTTGCTGTTAAATATTTTTTTGCTGTTTTTTTTGCAGCTTTTTGTGGTGTTTTTTTTCCTGTTTTTTGGCAGTTTTTTTGATGTTTATTTTGCATTTATTTTGTTGTTTTTTACTGATTTTTGTGTTGTTTTTAGGTTACATAGCTGTTAAATAATTGTTGTTTCTTGTTATTTCATCAGGTAGAAGCTGTAGAAGCTGTTTTAGTGCTGAGTTGGTATATTTTTGAAGTCTTAAAAGTTGTTTTACATTGAAAAATATTTCTTTTTTGTATTTTGAAAGTATGCAAAAACCACATAGATGCTTGAATGGTTGATGTTATTTTGCATTAAAGATTGTTTATTTTTTGGTATTTTGAAAATATGTAAAACTTATGACATATATGGTTGATGTTTTATTGATATTAGACGGTTAATTGTGATTTTTTTGGTAGTTTGTACATTAGAATATGAAATGTTTTAATAGTTATTACTTAATTTAGTGATTTTAAAAAATATATACATATATTAGTTGAGCAGAGCCGAACCGAGCTTGAGACTGTCGAGTATTTCACGAGCCCGAGCTCGAGTTTAAAATCAAGGCTCGAGTCGAGTTCAAGTCGAGCTTCGAGCTCGAGTATTTTTGTCGAGTCGAGCTTCGAGCTTTATGGTGTTCGGCTCGAATCGGCTCACACCCCTACTTGAGTCAACTAAATTACCCGTTTTCCTCTCCATTTCAACCGATTTTACACAAATGGTTTTTTCCGGTTTAACTACAATCAACTTTTAAATTTAGTGAATTGTGACCTCACAAGTTTTCATTTGATTTGGACAAACCCAATTTTTTTAGATATAAGAGTCGATCCACCATAAGTATTGCTGATTAATTTATTTTATTGTTTTAGTTTTAATTAGGAAATCAAGTAGTTTTTTTTATCTATATTGTCACTGCCTAAAAGACGCTCAAATAATATATAAATATTATTACAAATATTTGACTACGCATACATAACACATTATAGAAAAATCATACTAGTTATCATCACATGATATTTTCAACAAAGTAAAGTATTGTTATTAAATACATTATTTATTAAAATTATTTGAATTTTGTTCAAATATCTTATTCCCCTTCAAAATATTTTAAGAATCTTTTAAAATAAAATTTTGATACGTGAAAGAACAATTAAAAAAAAAAAAAAACGGAAAACCAATCATGCACACAATGGAACTTTTTGGACCCTTCAACTTAACACTTTGATTTGCTTAAGTACCCTCAAACCACCATCTAATTTCCCACTCATTTCCAAGTCACTACATACATTACTCCATACTTAATTAATATATATATATATATAGACCGTGTATTACATGAGTTGACTAAAAAAAATAAAATATGAAAATGTAAATATACTTTTTCTTTTTAAATAATACTTTGAAATAATTCAAACGAAATGATGAATTAGTAAGTAATTCAAAACTAATTCAAGTTAAGATGTTATAGAATCAAAGCTAATTTAAGGAAATTGAGATGTTATAGAATTAAAAACTAATTTAACTTGAAATACTCTGTATAAATTACCAAAAAAATCAATTATCAACTTCAACTTTTAAAAATACAGAAAACCCTAAATGCTATCACGACAATGACACCTTGTAAATCGCCGGAATCCGACTGAAACCAAAAGATGGTTAGATCTTCCTAGATTTGAAAACATAACTCTTTAATCCGCCATAGTAAAGATACACATAAATCTCCATATTCTCTCTCTTTTTATATGATGTAACTATAAGCTACAACACTTTTATACTCTTGTTTGTAACTTTGTATGTAAATAGTTAAAATAAAACTTTGGAACAAATAATATAGCCGTGTATGTGTAAGCCTATAGGCATTAAAGCTGCTGAAGTAAACAAAAAGTAAAATAGTATATTTAAATATTATTTTTGGATCTCAACAATCATTATATTACAAACTACAAACTAAGATATATATGCATTTACAAAGGGTTTGTAGCCCAGCGGTATCCAGTATTGCCCTCCCTCCTTGAGGTTGAGGGTTCAAGTCCCGTCGTGGACATAGGTGGATTTAAGGTGTAGTTTAGGAGTATGTTAGATTCGTCGTTCAAAAAAAAAAAAGAAGATATATATGCATTTAATTCTTCATTTATTTTTAATAGACCATATTTAATAGATTAGCCTTATATCAACTATTTTATTTTAAACATCCATATTTTAAGTTAATTTTGAAAATTTAACTAATCATATTTGGAATAGATTAGATTTATGTTGATTATGGAGTTGTAAATAAATTGTTGATTTATCTCTATTTTATTTAGAGTACTCGTTTGGTTTGAAAAGACATATTTATTGGTTTTTATTTTGTTATTTATCAATGTTAGCTATATTTCCATGTTTTTTCTACACCAAATTAAATAAAATAGTTATATGTTAATTTAGTTTATATCACTTTATTTAAAGGTTTTAGCTTCGACCCCTGTAGTGACAAAATCCTTAAAAAACAAAGGGTAATATGGTGACTTGCATGCTCATGAAAAATATGAAAAAATGACAATAATGAATATGTTGTACCAAGGGACCAAAATGCCACTTTCATCCAAAACGTTACAGAATCACACCACCCCAATTTGAACTTTCAAAAAAGCAATTTCCCAAAACATTCTTGTTTGAATACATACCCAATTATCCCGTTAAAAACACTAGTATTAATATCATTTTATTCAAATAAACCCAAAATTTTAGAAATTTCATGAATTATTTGAATTAAATTTTCATATTATAGTTATTTATAACCAAAATACCCTTAAACTTCATATACCCTACGACAGCATAACCTCCCTGGTTATTTAGAAGATAATAACAACACTTCAGATCCAGGTATAAGCTTGGCTTTTAACACCTTTAAAGTAGGTTCTGATATATTTCCTCCAAATTTTCCTGAGTAGTAAAGTTGAATAATAAGTTAGTAGTAATTTGAATCAAAAAGAAAAAACAATGATAAGAAAAAAAAGTTAAATGAACATAAAAAAGGAATATAAAAGTGGGGTCAAGAAGGGAGTTGGTTCATAAAGAAAAAAAAAATAGATTTATTACATACCTGTTCACCTAAAAGGTTGAATATTCTTATGGCCATCTAAAATGAGAAATTAAAATAAAATATTATATCTACAATTATTTATATGACGAATCATCATTTAGTTTTAATATAGTTTTAATAAGTTAGTTAAAAATATATGGAATGATAGATACTGTTATAATCTTATTGGTTAAGAATATTTGTAGGTATAAAAAACAGTTTCTCTATATAAATATATAGATTTCAAATGACGTTTTTGTAAATTATTGTTATTGACTTCATATAAATATGGCAAAGGGTACGACTTACCAGCTATAAAACGTATTATTAGTTAAAAGCTTGCTAAAAACTAATAAAAAGTAAAGATTATTAATTAATTGCTTAACAACAAACCGAAAAGCAAAAGCTTTTTGAGAAGCAAACGCTAAAAGTCGTAATTCTTGCATTCCGATCCCTATCCCCCTAAGCTCTTTTTCCTCTCTCTCTATATATAACAACCACTTTTCTGTAATCCTTTTCAACTAATTAAGCCTAAAAAACCATCGATATGAATCAAAGAACATCCGTAGAAAGCCAAGGAAGTGTTCATCTCCCGATCGATGACGACATTTCAGCTCAACTAAACCGAACCCACAGAAAGAACACCACCATTTTCGAACCACAAACCAGTATCGAAACAGCAAACAGCAGCAACTCAACACCATTGCCAAAACAAAGACAAGTACTGACAGGAGCACCAGAAAAAAAGCTAACCCTCTTCGCACTCAGGCTAGCTATACTCGAGAAAGCAGCCACCGGTCTTGGAGCCCTAGGGTTCATCTGGGCTACTGTGGTTTTGCTAGGTGGGTTCGCTATAACCATTGACAAAATAGATTTCTGGTTAGTGACCATTATTCTACTGATTGAAAGTACAAGGATCTTTAGCCGGAGCCATGAGCTTGAATGGCAGCATCAGGCTACGTGGTCGCTAGCGGATGCTGGATTCAGTAGCTTTCGAGCGATAAGATCGAGCTCACATGTGTTTATCCGAGCAATTAAATCCATGTCGCAGCCTCTTACTGAGACGCCGAGAGGAGCGGATAGGAAGATAAGCGAGAGTACTCCAAACATGCTAAAAAGCTGGACAAACTACTTATCCAAAAAGACACCTTCGCGAACATGGACAAGTTCCGATGTCCCCCTTCTTCCATATGGAAAATGGGTTTTCGTATCGAGTAATATTAGTAAGCTTCTTTATTGGCTACAATTAGCTTCCGCTGCTGCTTGTGTGTTTATTTCTGTTACACGGCTTGTGAATCACGATTATGGAGCCATGCATAAAGGAGACAACGACATGATGAACCGGAAAGCAGCGGTTGCTATATTCTATGGATTGGCGTTAGCAGAAGCTGTGTTGTTTCTTTTGGAGAAAGCGTATTGGGAGTGGAACGTGATTTATAAGAGAATGTTGGAGATGGTGAATGAAGAGCTGGAACTGGGACATACAGGTTTGATTTCGGTGAAGAGGTTTTTCTACGACACGTATTCAAAATGTGTTAATCAAAGCATATTCGATGGGTTGAAAATGGATATGGTTTCTTTCGCTATGGAGCTTTTGAACTCCGATTCTTCTGATGAACAACTCATTGGTGTTCGAATCTTTGATAGGTTCACGACAAATTCACGATTTTCCGAAGATACCCTTCAGAAAATCGGGATTACCATATCAGTAATCGAACGTTTGGTCGAAATGCTTAATTGGAAAGACCCACAAGAAGAAGAGATTCGGATGTGCGCAGGAAATATACTCGTTAAACTCCTTGGTAAGAAGCAAAACGCTCTTCGAGTTGCTGGAATTCCGGGAGCAATGGAATCAATATCGTCTTTGTTACACGTCAACCGAAACTCCAGTTCAATGATATATGGTGAAGTTTTTGAAAAGGAAATCATCGGAGATCATGGAAGTTATGATTACTGGGCATTCAATCAACTAGGCCTTCTAATTCTAAAGAAACTTGCATGCGATCATGATAATTGCGGAAAGATCGGGAACACAAGAGGCCTCCTAACGAAAATCATCGAGTTCATGCACACGAATGAGCGACTATTGAAAAACAGACAGATCACCGAATCTCAGATTACAACAGTGAAACGATCATTACAAGTGGTGAAAATGTTAGTAAGCTCGACAGGGATTACTGGTACACAGCTTCGAACCGAAATTTCAGAATTGGTTTTCACAATTAGCTACATTCGTGATATATTAAGGTATGGTGAAAAACACCCGAGGCTACAAAAACTTGGAATCCAAATTTTAACAAGTTTGGCTTTAGAAGATGACGCGACAGAAAGGATTGGTGGAACTGGAGGTGTTCTAAAGGAATTGTTCAATGTTTTCTTTAGAGAAGAAATCCTCGAAAGTCAAAACCATGTGCGAATTGCAGCTGGAGAAGCTCTTGGAATGCTGGCATTTGAAAGTACAAGAAACTGTCATCGTATTTTGAAACTGAATGTCATTCAGAAGCTTAGCGACGCTCTTGAAAGCCAGTTGCTTCGTGTAAACGCTGCAAGAATCTTGAGGAACCTATGTATTTACAGTGGACCAAGTTCGTTTAATCAACTAAGAACGATTATAACCGCTGCAACTACTGTATGTTATGAATCTTGAAAACAATATATTCATAATTAATGCTTCTATATTAATATCCAAGTTAATCAAAACATTCGTGCAGGTACTAAAGGAAATCATGACAGACGACATGAAGTTACAAGAAGTGATGGTAGGGTTAGCAGCACATATGTTCAGATTCATGACATCTGAAGAAGCTAACGCCATGTTTGAACAAAGTGGAATACACGATGGTGAATTAGCGGTGGCACTCGTTCAGATATTGAAGAAATGTCCGTATCCACCAATGAAGACTCCAAGAATAAGAAGGTATGTGATAGAACTGGCGATTTGGATGATGATGAAGGATAACGTTCGAAATGTTAAGACGTTTAAGAATCTGGGAATGATGGAAGAACTGGAAGGCGTTACAGAGACAACATCGGAACTTGAAAGCTTTAATATATTCTCTGGTGCAATTGGAATGAGTAGGTACAAGATATCAATTCATTCATTAGTTGAGACAGCAATGAAGTTGATGGCTGATGAGTATTGATAGTTGATAAGTATTAATGTGCATGCTTTTTGTAACTGTGGACAAATGGAAGCTATAAAAACATGTAAATGTGGATATACGTACATATACATATTATTTATTCTTCTTATCTAGGTATAAAGGAAATAAAGGTACATATATATGTTAATATGTTACACAAGACATCAAATAACCCGACAAGACCGGGTAGATTGGACTGCCGATGGTTTCTAATGCTACTTTCGATAGTGAGAATGAAAAAGACTTTATCGACTTTTATTACTATGAAACTGAGTCCCTTGTTCCACTTTATTATTTGTTTGTATGAAACGAAAATTGCATGTTTTAAGTCCTATGGACGGCTAATGCAAGGTTTATATATTAGGTCGCATTTCCACAACGAACGGGCTTTTAAGTTCTTAAATAACTTGAAATTATTGTCAAATAGTTATTTGTGTAAAAATAATTTTTTTTTAAATTTATTTATTTATTTTTATCAATTTAGGTAGTGAAATGATTTGAGACAAGTTATACAAACCAAGTTTATCAAAATATACAGGATCCTACGTGTAATGACTGTAATCTTAACTAACTTGATTGGTCGGTCTAGCGCATATATGGGTGGATTAATACTTGAATACATAGTCTCCTTATTTTCTATGACCCATAATCACTCAAAGATGAATCCACTTTTTATGAGGAAAAAGTATTTCGAGTATTTTCAGGATCAAGTGATGCCACTAGTATTAACCTCACATGCTTTCTACCTTAGTAGACAAGCTGCCGTGATAGTCACTAATATACCAATACCAAAATGGAAGTCATGTATAATTTTAAAAAAAAACTATGCTTTTTATATTTTCTTATAAAATAATAACTTATGTCCGTAAAAATGGTTTTGCAAACTATCAAAATAACTTATCTTGATGGTGGATGTGATGAATATTGTGCATTCGCGGAAAGGTATAATGTTTACGTCCGATATCTTTATTGTGGTCACGCCCAAAGCATAATAGTTTCTCAAAACAAGTTTTTTCTTTGGTTGGTGTTAGAGCTCTTTCTCCATTTGTTCTTGAATCTTGCAAACTATCATATTTTGTATTTTCCAAAAATGATTAACAATTAACTATATATGGGGGAAAGCTAGAATTTAGGATAAGAGGACTTACATGGTAATAAAATATTAAAATACTTTTTGTTTCTAAATAGGATAATTGAGTTAGTAAATTTGATAAACAAAAAAGCCGCTTAAATAAGAGATACATTAATCCTTGCTAGAATCAATTTTCAAAAGTTTTCAAACGATTATAAGCACCAATTCTCGTCATTATCCTACTAGTATTAAAAAACTACCTAGAAAATAGATAAATATTGTATTATGATCAATTCACGAGAAAATATACTTAAATAAAATTTATAAGATTATAAAAATAGTACCTTGTTCATTTCAAGTTGAGACTGTCTTTATTTATAAAAGAGAAATCATTTATAACTTTATATGTTGATAATAGAAAGCTACTTACTATATTCCGGTTAATCCAAAATTAAAATAGCTATTTAAGAACAAAACGTAACCAATAATCAACAAAAAGAACTACTTATCAACACTGTAAAAACCTAGTTCCTGTAAAACCCTAGTTCCTTTGGCGATCTCGTTGATTTTTCTTGACTGAGTTTATCCGACGTTTGAGTGTTGTGATTATTATCGTTTCAATGGTGCAATCGGTTGAGGAGAATTCTTTTGACTTTGTTCTCCAGTTCTTATTTCTTTGTCTCTCATTTGTTTGTCTACTGACCAATCATGGGATTACGTTTAGGTCAAAATGATGCATGGAGGAGGTTCGACGCATGAATAACACTGGACGTAGGAAACAATTCGTTAGGGATCATCACTGATTTCAACGATCAAGATTTGACAAGGTAGAAGTAGTCTCTTTTTCTATCTACATTACTAAATTTCCTGATTCAGTTGAGCCTAGAGATCAGGGCCGACCCTAGGCAAGTTCAATATGTAACATCCCAAATTTAGGTGTGTCTCTTAAACCCTTGTCCTTTTCCCAAGTTGTCAAGGTAAGCCCTTAAATGAATTATTAGGCTTGTGAGTACGCTGGGCGTACTGAAGGGTACGCTGTGCGTACTTACGCGCTTAATTTTGGACACGGACTCCCCTGGGTACGTTGGGCGTACCCAGGGTTACGCTGGGCGTAGCGGGCCCAGGTGTAAACCCTAATTTGGGGCTTTTGCACTATAAAAGGAATGTTATGGCCTTGACCTCAATCCCATTTCAGAGAGTGAAACCCTAATAGAGAGCCCTCCTTCGTTTCTAGCTAGTGTGTTGGTATTCTAAACTTTAAAGTGTCATTTCTAGGTGGTGGAAGAGAAGAAGAGGCCATTTTGGAGGCTAGGAGTTGTGGGCAAGAGTAGATTCGAGATTTCAGAGGTTGGAGCTTCTTCCTAAGGTAAAAAGCTCAAATCTTGACTTGTCATTTGTGTGGTGTGCTTCTTGGACCGATTTCTAGGGTTTTTAGTCCCAAGATGGATACTTTATGAGAAAATGGTCTCCATTGGCCTAGATCTATCATATTTCAGGACTATAAGAGTTGTATGTTCATAAAAATGCAATCTTGGATGTGGATATTGAGCCATGCATGAGATCTAGACCTTTTGAGGAGGAAGGAAAAGTGTTAGAGGCTATAGGGACCTTTACAACCATTTAAAGGCTTAAAGGTTTTGACTTTATGGGATAAGAGGTCTAGAAAGAGTCAGATCTGGAAGTTGAATGAGTGTCTTAACCGTTTAAGACCAAAAACCAAGGAAAGGTTGAAATTGAGACTTATGTTGGGCGTAACTCTCAGTACGCGCATCGTAAGGGGTTGAGACCCCGTTTGTGACTCGCTGGCGTACGCCCCGCGTACATAGAAGGTACGCGCCGTATACTGCCTTCTATTGACGTCCGTTGACTTTTAGGGTTTTGGTCAACCCTTATAATTTTAGGGTTAGGGAGGGGTAAAAGGGTCTTTTACCCTTCTGTGGAATTGTAGAGTGGATTTAATCTAGCCTTTGAAAGCCATTATTTTTTTGAGAGTGTTGTTTTGTGTTTAAGTGGGGGCTAGATCAGTGTGTTCGAGTGCGAGATTATTCGAGATATCCGAGGTGAGTCTTCTTACTAGACTTTACCTAGAGTGGTAATTAGAGTTATGTGACAGAGTATTTTATATGTTATTTATATGATGTGATACACTGCATTATTTCTATGTGACTTATGCTATGTATGTTTCAGAGTTTACAGAGTTAAAACCGGAAGGTTCATAGAGTTAGGACCAGAGGGTCCACAGAGTTAGGACCAAAGGGTCCACAGAGTTATAGCCTCGGGTGGCTAATATGTGTTATATGTGGTATTTTGGGGAACTCACTAAGCATTTATGCTTACATTGTTGTGTTATGTGTTTCAGGTACCAGTGAGGATCGCGGGCAGGCACCGACATGATTAGTACACATACGAGGAGTTTTTATGTCTTATGATCTTGGGTTCTGTTCTATGAATGTTATATGTTACAATGACATTTTTATAATATTTATGAATGAAAGTATGTTTTGGAAAATGTAAAAATTGTTTTGAAAATTTTGGGTGTTACAAGTTGGTATCAGAGGCTTGGTTTGAGGGATTCGGGTGCACCTTCGGGTGTATCTGAACTCAAACTGAGGATTTGAGAGATTTTCAAAATAAAATTCACAAAATTTTCTCAAGAGTAAAAGGTTTCTGAAAGAGCAGAGCAGAGCAGTGTGTACGATCAGCCATCGCCTGAACGGTGATTTCCCAAAATACCCTTACATTATGAGTTATGCGATATGTTATGATTGATGGGTTTTGGTCATAAGACATCCTATGTGCTCATACAAACCCTAATGCTTGGATCTAGGTTTCTCTATTGTACATGCTTTGAATCCAAGACTATAAACCCTAATTCTAGCATACATATAATCATATTAACATGAGAATAAGTTTATAGTGTTACCTTGATTGTTATGTAGCAATAACAATCACAATTCCTCCTTGAATTGACTTTGGAAGGCTTAGAGTCATAAGTGTCACTCCTATAATGGTTCACAAACACCATAAGCAAGAGGATGAAGAGGAGAGAGGTTGAAGGCTGCCAAAAACGTGTGTAAACCCTTACAAGAACCTTAGCCTCGTTTTTGAGCCTTAAGGGGTCTTTATATAGTTGGGCTATTAGGGTTATCTAACAAGGAAACCCTAATTTGGATGCTTAAGCCCTAAGTAACCCATAGACTCCTTTTAATCAAGCCCTTGGATGATTTCCTTATGGGCTTCCCCATAGAATTCGTCCAACCCTTGATACAAGGCAATCCATGGCCCAAATTGCAATTATCCTATAATTATAATTCCAGTCCCTTAAGTTTAATTAATCTCTTTTAGTCACAAAACTAATTACCAATTAATTATTGACTAATATTAATTAAACAATATGATTTCTCCTTTAATATATTATTCCCATAATATATTAATAAATCATATTTAATCCTTACTCTCCATAAATCATCCTATCAAGTTGCTTTGGTGAAGACAACCCAAAAGGACCATGCACCATCGGGTCAAGTACATACCAAAATAGTTATGGACTTAGACACTAATCCAACAATGATATGATATGCATGCTAGAGTAGGCTAGGTATTCTTATTAAGGCTAGAGTGGCCTGATTTCTGATGCCTTAGTCTAGGTATTTTGCTGATAGGAGATGCTTGAGTGTGAATAGATGGCAGCGAGGGGCTTATGAGAGACATGCTGGAGGGTAGACTGTGTATAGAGAGAGTAGAGTACTTGGGACTTGGGATCCTAGGAGGAGGACTTGGGATGAATACCGATGCGGTGTGGACGGTAGTATTGGGCCTGTACTACTAAAGACACCAGAGCAGTGCACAGCCCAAGTAAGAATCCTTGGGGTACCAGGGAACGAGTAGGGTCAAGTTATCGGGTGCGTGTATGCTCGAGCGAGTCTCT